TGAGATTCTATTTTCTGTATGATCTAGTCTGCTTTTAATATTTTCAAGGGAAATTTTGACTTGTATTATAGCCTTCATCTCTAACAGTTCCATCTGATTCTTTTGTAAAGTGTGAAATTCCTCTTTTAGATCTTGCATGAATCTCCTCACCTCCTGGAACTCTTCAACTCCTTTCTCCTTCCTCTTCAGCAGTTCCTTGTCTCTCTTCTCTTCCAACTCTGTAAGCTTTGCCATTATGAATGTTCTGAATGTGGATGAAGAGGAGTTATCCTTTTCCCTTGGAGGAGAGGTATTTTCCTGCTTCCCCATATTTCTTGTGGTCCTGCAGTGATTTCTAGTCATCTGGTGGATGGTTGGTTTCTTCCCAAACTTGGAAGTTCAATCACACGAGTTTTGTATGCTGGAGGCTGAATTATCAGTGGGACCTCTTCATTTCTCCGTTTTCCCCAAAATGGCTAGATCGCAGGAGCCATGGAGCTGTCTCTTGCAGAAGGCCTGTTCTGTCAGTCATGACATTTTAAAAAATGTTTTTCTAGGCGAAAATGCATCATGACTTTTCCAACAACCCAATAGATGCTTCCTGTGTCTCCTATAACAGAAATACCATCGTCTGATAGAGTGGGTGACTTAAGCAACAAACATTTATTTCTTACAATTCTGGAGGCTGGGAAGTCCAAGATCAAGGTGCCTTCCTGCTAAACTTCTTGGTTTGTAGATGGCTGTCTTGTTGTATCTTCACATGGCAGGGAATGGAGAGGACATAAGCTCTTCTTAATTTATTTAGAGGTTTTTGCCTTAGGAAGCATGTGCTCACTCGACATTTGCCGTCTGTTTTATTAGCTCCCTCACACATTTCTCAGGTCAGATGCAATCTTTACCTCATCCCACTTTCTTGGCATCCATTCAGGACGAGGGGTGGTCCCTTTAAATCTACTTTTAATACTTGTATAGATTTAAAAATACATAATTATGAGAAAATTATAAATCTCAAAGGTTATACATAAAGATATAATTTGTAACACCAATAGCAATAAACAGTTAAGGTGGAACAGTAAAGTATGAGTTTTGTATGTAATGGAAGCTAATTTATTTGTTTAAAATATTGTTTTATGTAATTTTAGTGATGGCCACAAAAGAAAATATCTACAGAGAATATTCAAAAGGAACTTAAGGGAATCAAAAATGCCATTATAAAAACATAAGTGAAATAAAAAGGCAATTAAGAAAATAAAGTGGAGGGAACCAGCAGTTAGCGTAATGGCTATGTCGCTGGACTCCCACGTAGTCGACCACGGTTTGCACCCTGGACCCGGTGGCTTAAACTCACGCTGGCTGTGTGTGCATGCGTGCCCAAGATCTCGAGAGGAGAATGGAGGAGAAGGGATTGTGGCGTGACCATCACCCCTGGGGGGTGATTTCTCGCTTTCTGTCTCTATGTCTCTCTCTGCCTGTCTGGCGAGCGCACGCACCCTATAGCGAAAACCTCTCCAAAAAAAAAAAAAAAAAAAAAGGAACCAAATATAAATTTAAAAAAAACTTTTTTTAAATTTTGCTATAGGGTATGTGTACTCACCAGAGGCAGAGAGAGAGAGAGAGAAAAGTGAGAAAGCATCCTTCCTCCCAGAGACCACGCCACAGTCCCTTCTCCTAAATTTTCCTCTTGGGATTTTGGGCACATGCACTCAGTATGTTTTTCAAGCCACTGAGTATGAGACTAGAACCATATAGTTGGCCATGCGGGATCTAACTACCTTAACCACAACTGCACCTGGCTAGCCCACCAAATATAAATCTTTTGTAAATGATCAAATCTTGGGCCTTAAGCCAAAATAAATGATTAATCAAATAGTGAATAAGCAACCTAGTCTGCAAAAGTAGATGGCTACATCAAAGAATAAAGAAACGTTCTCAAAAACTTGAAGAAAATAAGTGTTCTCTATTTTTGTTGACAACTTGCTCTTTTTCTCAACAATGACCCTTTATTAAATTCTTTTGTAAGTTGAGAGGTTTTGTTCCTTGTCTTTTTTATTTTGCATAAGGAACAAAAAATAAAAACTCATTTAACACCAAACACGACCATTAATAATTACTTTCTGAATGAACTTTGAGCAATCTAATATTTCCCAAAGTATTTTGTAGTAATTTTCAATTGTTGCTGAATTTGCAATGATAAAAATAGATGCACACTAATAAATTATAAAATAAGCGCCTCTTGAATACAATTTCTAAAAAATTCGTGACATTTCTTAATATTATACTTACTATTATCTCCAGGTATTCCAAATTCTGTTTGATCTTTTAACTCTGAGTCTGGGTATATGGGTGTTACACTATCAGATATCTCATACGTTTTCTCACCTGAAAAGCAAATATTATGCAATATATAACCTGTGAAATCTCTGAAAAATTATGAGACATTTCTTGCCTTCTTTCAGAAGCTTATTATATTTTTCACTTATACTTCAAAAGTTCTTTAATGTTCCCTCTAATTATATTAATGTAAGTTTAAAACATAAAATAAGCAATAAACTATAAAGATAAAATAGGTGTAACAATCTAAAAATTATTGAGGGACTTATTGGTTTGAAATTCTTATTTTATTGTTTAATAATCCAATAACTAACCCTTAGAAAATGGAGATCTATACACTTCCTGAAAAGGAATTTCAAATAATCACTTTAAATAAACTTAGTGAGCTATAAGAGAGCATATATAGAAATTAAGTGAAATAATACAAAACTATATATGAACTAAATAAGTATAACAAATAGATAGAAACCATAAAAAAGAAACACATTTTAAAGATAAAAAACATAATGATTAAACTTAAAACAGAAATCTTCAACAGAAGACTTAATTTAAAAAGAAGAAACAATTAGTGAACTCAAGATGGTGCAATTGAACTAGCCAATTGGGGTCAGGGTGAAGAGTTTAAATGGAACACAACCACACCAATTTATGAATTATGGGATTTTAAAAAGAAAATAAAAGAGGGAGAAAATATATTTGGGGAAATAATGACTGAAAACTTCTCAGATTTGATGGAAGACACGTGTCAGAGACTAATAAACAAACTCCAGTAAGACACTTTAAAACCAACTATCAAAAAACAAAAAACAAGGACCAGCAGTTAGCGTAATGGCTATGTCACTGGACTCCCACGTAGTCGACCACGGTTCGCGTCCCGGACCAGGTGGTTTGGACTCACACCGGGCATGTGTGTGTGCCCAGGATCCCAAGAGGAGAATGGAGGAGAAGGGATTGCGGCATGCCCATCCCCCCGGGGGTTGATTTCTCGCTTTCTGTCTCTTTGTCTCTCTCTGTCTGTCTGGCGAGCGCACGCACCCTATAGCAAAAACCTCTCCAAAAACAAAACAACAAAAAAAAACCAATAGAGACTCTTGAATTCATACAAAAGATCCTCAATAAGACCTATAGCTAATTTGTCATCAGAAACCATGAAGGTCAAAGCAATGGGAGGACACACTTAAAGTACTTGGGGGGAGGGGACGAACAAAAAAACAGCAACCAACAATTCCATAGCTGGCAAATCTGTCCTTCAAAATGAAAGAGAAATTAAGATGCTCTCAGATAAAACATAAGTTGAGAGAGTTCATTACCACATGTGCCTTTAAAATAATGCAAAAAAATTCCTTTATATTAAAATAAAAGCATACTAGGCAGTAACTCAAAGCCAGATGAAAAAATAAAGATTTCTGGTAAAGATAATAACATGGGCAAGTATAACAGCCAGTATTACTGGGTTTTTGTTGTTGTTTTTAAGAAGTTCTTGTTATAGGGCACGTGCGCTCACCAGAAAGAGAGACAGAGAGACAGAAAGCGAGAAATCATCCCCCAGGGGGGAAGGCCACATGGCAATCCTTTCTCCTCCATTCTCCTCTCAGGATTTTGGGCATACATGCACACGCACCTGGCATAAATTTAAGCCACTGAGTCTGGGACTTGAACCACAGTCGACTACATAGGAGTTCAGTGACATAGCCATTATGCCAATTGCTGGTCGCAGTATTACTGTTTTTTTGTATGCAGCTCCACTTTTTATTTCCTATACAATTTAAAGGATAAATGAGAGAAGACGCCTTCATTGCTGCTGAAAATTAGTTATTTCAGGAAATAAGAGACATGAAGATTTTTCTACTGATAATTCAGCCTCCAGACCCCAGTCTCCAGTGGAGATGCAAGGGGCAGGCCTTCAGACTTCTCCATTGCTGCTGAGAACTAATGATTTCAGGGATTATGAAAAATGAAGATTTTCTACTGATAATTCAGCCTCCAGCCCTGAGTCTTGAGTGCTACGACATCCCTATATCCTCTCAGTCTCTCTGTCTCTCTCTGTCTTCTCATGTTTTTGTAATTTTTCCTTTTAAAAAAATTTTAAGGTAAAATATTCTCTTGGCTTTCAGATCCTTCTTTATCTTGCTAATAATCCCCTTTACTCCTTCCCTCTAGGAGAGGCAAGGTGCAGGCCTGCAGAAGGAGACCCCTCCGTTGCTCCTGAGAACTAGTGATTTTGTGCTGCATGCAAGTTCACTGCATAATTTTTAATTTTTGCTTTTTTTAAAAAATAATTTTTTTTGTTGTTTTTCTTATTTTTCCTTTCTTTTTTTCCCCCTCTCTGTGTTTTCCTATTCTTTTTCTTTTACCTCATTACTTTGCTGCTCAATCTCCATTCACTGAGTGTCTTGATGGATCTAAGGGAACCATAGCCAAACATTCAAATACTATTAAGGTTGACATATTCCTCAATGTCCACTGAATCTGCTGCACAAAGGGATAAAATGTAATGGCAAAGAGATTGCAGATCACCTTCTCCTGCACGTTACTGAATGATCAGATTGAAATTCAAGAATTAGGAATAAAACCCACCATCCATCAGATAACTAGAAATCACCACAGGGTCACAAGAAATATGTGAAACCAAGAAAATTCTTCTCCTCTGAGGGAAAAGAATAACTCTTCTTTATCCACAGAGAGTTCAATGGAACTCATGAAAATGTCTGATAAAGAATTTAGAATATTCATAGAGACAAAGTTAACAGAGATGCAAGAAAAGAGAGACAATGAACTCCAGAAGAAGCAGGAGAATAGAACTGAGGAGTTCCAGTAGATGAGGAAGTTCTTGCACGATCTGAAAGAGGAAATACACACCATAAAAAATAATCAAATGGAACTCATAGAGATAAAGGCTATAATACAGGAAATCAAAACCTTTCTTGAAAGTTTTAAAAGCAGATCATACAGAAGATCAAATCTCAGATGTAAAAACCAGAATTGCAGACCTAAAAAATCCAGCACAAAGACTGAGAACATAGTCCAAAAAATGAGAATAATATACAAGAAATACTAGATACCATCAAATGTCCAAACATCCAGATAATTGGTATCCCAGAAAGTAAAGAGACTAATAAGGGCATTGATAATCTATTATATTATATTCATGAAATCCTGCAAGAAAATTTTTCAAACCTAGAGAGGCATTCAAAATTCAGACCCAAGAAATACATAGGACCCCAAATAGAATTAACCCAAGAAGATCTTCTCCAAGTCACATTATAGCCAGACTGACCGAAACCACAGACAAAGACAAGGTACTCAGATTGGCGAGAGATAAACGACAAGTTACCTACAAAGGATATCCCATGAGGTTAACAGTGGACCTTTCATCAGAAACAATGTGAGCAAGGAAAGAATGGGACCAGCAGTTAGCATAATGGCTATGTCACTGGACTCCCATGTAGTCAGCCATGGTTCGCGTCCGGGACCCAGTGGCTTAAAACTCACTCTGGGCATGTGTGCGTATGTGCCCAAGATCCCAATAGGAGAATGGAGGAGAAGGGAATATGGCATGGCCATTCCCCCTGGGGGGTGATTTCTCACTTTCTGTCTCTCTGTCTCTCTCTTGTCTGTCTGGCAAGCGCATGCGCCCTATAGCAAAAACCTCTCTAAAAAAAAAAAAATAGAATGCATCAGAATAATTCACTACTACTATTTATATACATACACACACACACACACACACACACACACATGACTCAACATGGGAAGAGAAGACAAGAATATTCTCTGATAACCAAAACCTGAAAGAATTTATCCACACCAGATCATTTCTCCAGAAGTTCTGAAGGGAGTACTATATCAGGAAAACTAAAATCAGGTTCACGGAAATAAGAGTTTAAAAACTTCTAAGATAAGGACCAGCATAATGGTAGAGACAAGTCCAGAGAAGAATATTATCTTTCAGAATTTAAATGGAAAACTTGGACAACAACAGAAGTTAGATTAAGTACATGAGAGAGCTGATGAAATACAATTTTATGGCTTTTGACTAAAACAATACTGATATTTTTCTATGCTTTGTAGTCCAGAGATAAAGATTTTTTTCTTCTCTTGAATTGTCGACAGATCCAGGTAACTACTATTCAAACAGAATCCTAACCTGCTTCCTGGCTTTAAGTCTTAAGCAAAGTTCTCTTAACATTTTTTTGATTTTGATTTATTAAAACTAAAACTGCCTTTCTTGAAATTAAATATATATATATGTATAGATATTTATAGATCAGCTGAACTTGTTATTGAAAGTAGTTAGATCAAATAAGATATTTTGTTAACTAATAAAATGTGGTAGAAAAAAAAGGAATGGAAAGCAACTGCAGATACCAGAGAAAGAGTGGGAAGAGGGTGGGATATGGCAGAGGGTGAGAAATGGGGGAGGGAAGGAATATACATATACATTAGAAACAAGAAATGGAAAATTATTTGTGAGAATAACATGTATGATTAAGCCACTGTACAGTATATTCTGGATGGAAAACTGCATCTTGTATGCTGTGATGATGTTCAGTGAATGAATACAAAATAAAGAATTAATATTTTTAAAAAGATAAATTAAAAAATAAAGAAAAAAATACTACCCCTTTTATTGGGTACACAATGTATAAAGATGCAATCTGTGAAAACAACTTAAAGGGGTACAGAGACTAGAACACTGTATGAGCAGAGTTTTTCTAAGCTATTAAAGTTGGTATCAATTCAAGTTGTTATGAATTTAGAGTATTAAATGTATTGCTCATGTTAACTACAAAACAATCTAAAAATGTACATAAAAGGAAATGAGAAGGGAATAAAAAATGGCTTTCTACAAAAAATATCAACAAAGACAGTAATGAGCATTGACAATCTATTTCATGAAATCCTGGAAGAAAACTTTCCAAGTCTGCAGAAGAACACAAACATTCAGACAAATACAAAGAACCCAAAATAGAATCAACCCAAGAGGATCCTCTCCATGCACATCACAGACAAAAAGAAAAAAAGAAAAAAAGACAAGATACTAAGAGAAATGTCAAATCACTTACAAAGGCTATCCCATCAGGCTAACACTGGATCGCTTATTGGATACAATGCAAGCAAGGAAAGAATGGGGAAACAGATTCACAGTGTTAAATGAAAAACAATTTTAACCAAGAATACTATACCTGGAAACACTGCCTTTAAATGAGAAAAGATAAAAACATTCGCAGATAAACAAAACCTCAAAGAATTTACCAATTCCAGACTAGCTCTTTAAGAAATTCTGAAAGGAATACTATATTAAGAAAACTAAAGACAGACAGACAGCAATAAGACAACAAAAAACAACCAAGAATATGGCCTACTTAATAGTAGGGACAATTCTGAAAATACCAATAATATCATTGAATGTTAATGGATTAAATTATCTGGTCAAGAGACACAGACTGGCTAAATGAATTGAAAGTCAGAAATCCTCCATCTGTTGCCTACAAGAAACTCATCTCATGGATAAAGACATATATAGATTTAAAATGAATGGCTGGAAAAAGGTATTCCATGCAAATGGAAACCAAAAAAAGAGAGTGAGTGGCTATACTGATTTCAGACAATATAGGCTTTAGGACAAAAACCGTAAGAAGAGACAAAGAGGAGCTTTATATAGTAGTAAAAGTATAAGATACCTAGGAATAAAACCAATCAAGGAAGTCAAAGACCTCTATAAGGAAAACTACAATACTTTACAAAGGAAATTGAAAAGGACACAAAAAAAGTAGAAGGACATCCCATGTTCCTGGATTGGCAGAATTAATATCATCAAAATGATAAGCCTTCCCAACTTAATCTACATGTTTAATGTAATCCCTATAAAATTACAAGAGACATTCTTCACAATCTAGAAAAGACAATCATAGAATTTGTCTGGAATCACAAAGGACCCCATACTTGCAAAGACATCCTGTGCAAGAAGAGTGGAGTGGGTGGCATCTCACTCCCTGACCTCAAAAAATATTACAAAGCTGTGATGATCAAAACAGCATAGTACTGGCACAAAATCAGATATAAGGAACAATGGAACAGAGTAGAGACCCCAGAAATAAACCCCAAAATATACAGATAACTGACTTTGACAAAGGGTACCAGTCAATCCAGTGGAAAAAGGAAAACCTATTTAGCAAATGGTGCTGGAAAAACTGTGTATCCACCTGCACAAAAATGAATCTGGACCCCTATCTGTCACCATTAACAAAAATCAACTAAAATTGGATCAAAGATCTAAACCTAAGACTGAAAACTATAAACTAAAACTATGGACAATTTTCTTCTGAGATATTTTTAATTAATTAATTTACATTCATTCCCTGAGCATTGTCACAGCATACAAAATGTGATTTCCCATCCAAATTATATACTGCATAGTGTCTTAATCATATGTTATCATCATTAATTTTCCATTTCTAGTCTCATATATATATATATATATATACATATATATATGTATATATATACCCATATTTCTCATCCTCTGCAAAGACTTCTTATGCAAGACTCCAAAAGCACAGGTAATAATCCCCAAAATAGAGAGGTGATTACAACAAATTAAGAAGTTTCAGCACAGCAAAGGATACAGTAATTAGTGTGAATAGACAACCCTCAGAATGGGAGAGAATTTTTTGTTAACTATGCCTCAGATAAGGAACTGATAACCAAAATACACAGGGAACTCGGGCAGCTTACCTGGAAGAAAATGATTAACCCAATTAAAATATGGGAAAATGAGCTAAATAAACAACTCTCTAAGGAAGACATACAAACAGCCAAAAAGCATATGAAAAACTGCTCAACATCCCTCATCATAATGGAGATGCAGATTAAAACCACAATGAGATACCACTTACCCCCAGTCAGAATGGTGAAGATTAAAAAACAAAAAATGATAAGCACTGGAGGGGATGTGGTCAAAGGGGAACACTCCTACATTGTTGGTGGGAATGTAAATTGGTCCAGCCACTGTGGAGAACGATACAGAAGTTCCTCAAAGACCTTCAAATAGAACTACCATATGATCCAGCAATTCCACTCCTGGGTATCTACCCAAAGGACAGGAGAATGCTCAGTTGGAAAAGAACTTGCACATCTATAGACATTGCAGCATTATTCATGATTGTTAACACATGGAACCATTCCAAATGTCCACAAACAGAGGAATGGATTGAAAAAGTGTGGCATATATACTCCATGGAATACTATTCAGCCATAAAAAAACAAGGCCCTGGAATTTGATAGAAAGTGGATGAATATGGAAGATTTGTTGCTGAGTGAAGCAAATCAGGCTATGAAAGAGAGATATTGTATGTTGCCACTTAACATATATGGACTGTCCACACTCCATGGTAAAGACTGAAAAACTGGAGGACATAAAAGCATTGAAAATTGTTATGGGAATGTGGGGGGGGGAGAGCATAGGAAAGTAAATTTGGAGGAAAAAATAGAGAAGTAAGACATCTGTGGGACACATATATGGTTTATTATCTGTTGATAAGGATGTGTGTAGTATTCTCAACTGGGCTGGACTTGGGGTATATCATGCTGGGTGAAGTCTCTTTATAATCTAAATGATGTATAGCGATTAAATGTATAAATAATCATTTTGAAAAGTAATAAAAAAAACTTTTAATTAAGAACTTTTTTAAAAACACACCAAAAAATAAAAGAATAACCTATTTGAAAAATGGGCAAATGAGTTGAGCAGACAACTCTCAAAGGATGTCATAAAAATTGCCAAAATACATATTAAAAAATTTAACATCTCTTATCATAAGGGAAATGCAAATCAAAACCACAACCAGAAGCCACTTAACCTCAGTAAGAATTGCTTTGATCAAGAAAACAAAGAATTACAAGTACTCAGGAGGCTGTGATGAAAAGATAGCCCTCCTACACTGCTGGTGGAAAACAATATGGAGGTGCCTCGAAAACCTACAAATAGATGTAACATCTGGGGGCTAGCAGGTGGCATGGTGTTTAAGGCACTGGACTGCCACATGGCTGACTATGGTTCAAGTCTCAGTTCTGGCAACTTGATTTCTCACTTTCCTTCTCTCTGACTGTCTCTCTGGAAAAATTTTAAAATAATAATAATAATAAATAAAATTAAATAAATAATTATTAGAAAACAAAAAGAACTACCATATGACCCAGTATTCCCACTTCTTTATATTTACCCAAAGGACAGAGAAAATACTCAGAAAGACATTTGCATATCCATGTTTATTGCAGCATTATTCACAATTGCTAAGATATGGAATCAACCTAACTGTTCAAGAACTTATGACTGGGTTCAAATATGTGGCACATGTATACTATGGAATATTACTCAACCATAAGGAACAATGAGATCCTGTCATGTGATACAAAGTGGATGAATATAGATTTAATGTTAAGTATAGAAAGCCTGACTATAAAGACAAACATTGTATATACCCACTTAATATAGACCAGATATATGCAATATGCTGCAGAAATGGAAGAAATTACCACGGGCTGATTGGTGAGAGGATAGTTATTACTTGATGGGTTTATTTTTTATTCAATAAAATGTGGAAATAAACATCAGTGATGGCTGCACAACAGTGTGGATGGCTTAAGGCCACTGAATTGTGCACTTAGAGATGGTTTCATTTGATTCATTAAATCCAGTGCTTGATTAAAATTAATAATACATTCTAAATAAAGCACCCTGTCTATAATGAAAGGAATAAAAAATCATCATAGGTATAGTCGTAAAACCACTCCCACTTCAAAACACAATAGAAGAGTGATGTTTCTGTACCCTGCAAAACAACCATCTAACTTCATTTTGAAAGTGCTGGCCAATGCAATAAAATATGGGTTGGATATTAAAGCTGTATGTGTTGTAAAGGAAGAATAAATTTAAACATATCATATGTCAAACACCTAAAGAATCTAGCAAAAATATTATTTATACCAGAAATCATGTTTTTTTCTTAATATGCCTAGGTAGTTTTTTGGTATAATATTATGTTGAGAATTCATAATACCAAATACTTCTATTTGGCTGAGGCAAAGCTATCACTTCCCTTTTACATAAATCTTAGTTGAAATAGACTTTTTAAGTAATATAATGGTAACTGACAAAATTAATTCTCATATAATTGTCACTATATTTCTATACTATCTGTTGACTGTCTTATACGTTATTTGTATATTTAATAATGTTCTCCCCTCATTTACTTAAAATTATGCAATGGGAACATGAAGTCATTCACATTTTCTTCTTACTAAACAGAAAATCTTTTTTTTACCTTGATCTTCTCTTGCTGCTTGGTATATTTGTTTTTCTATATTCCTTTGTATATTATCTTCTGAAACATCAGCCTTAATAAGAAAAGTTGTAATAAGAAATTATAAAATTATATAGCTCAGAACATTTTTTAAGTATCACTTAGAGAGAAAACTAGCTTTTTACTCTCATCTATAATGTCATGCAGAAACATTTTTTCTTTTTTCTTATTTCCTGTGTGTACTACATTTAAAAATGAGAATAATTAGTGCACTCTAGAGGTATTTGGGAACACTGAGTGGTGTGGAGGGAACCCAGGCAATACTGTGATTCTTCCTCATAAATAGTTCCAAATAAATAATGTAAATAAATATTGATTGATTCTTGTTTAGATTTACGTTTTAGTCTACTTCAATTTTTGTAAATTCAAGTGGCTTACAAAAGTACTTGTATAGAAACACTTTAAGAACTTTCATAAAAGTATATTTTGTATATGTTGTTTGTAAACTTTAATCTTTTTTCATTTTACCTTCACTTTTGTCTTAAGAAACTCCTAAATAAATACCTTTTTTAAACAAAAGCTATTCTGATCACTTTCCAGATTATATTAAAAATATTTTGAAATATTTTTTTAAAAATTTACTTTTAAAAAGTATGTAAACATTATTTCAAAGTGACTATGCTTTTATAATGACTTTATTGTACACAAGTCATTTTTGTAGATTTAAACTCTGAAAATTTCCCTTGCCGCAGGAGTTATATACCTTCTAATCATTAAACTATAAGCAACAACATTTCTGGCAATATTAACTAGAATTTTTTATAAGTTAAAAATATGACTTAGATTCCCAAATATTACTTTCAACGTCTGAAACATGAAACAGTTTGTTAAAAGGCAAATATTCTATTCCCTTAAAATAAGAAAATGTTGAATGTTCAATTAGCGGTTATTCAAGATATTGAAGAAGTCTGGTGATTCAAAATACACAGCTTTCAAGTTATGACACTCTATCATACCTTTGAGATATCACTACCCATTGATTTTCTTTCACTAAGAACAGGAAGTGAAACGAAGGATGATGCTTCTGCTTCATTCTCCTGAGGTGATATTTCAACAGGCAGTGAGTCTGGAATTCCTTCACTAGGTGTTATCATTGTGAATGATTTGTCATGGTTCTCTGATGGAAATGTATGGGATAGGTCTTCAACTAAAACTTCCTTTGAACTCTTTAGAAAAGCTGATCCATCTTGAGACTTGAGCATCTGTGAAATATCTGAAATAGCAGGGCTAGATCTTTTCTTCTCTGAGCTTTAGAATTACAAAACATCTGGTGTTAGATTATCTGAAGAACGTCTTATTTGCAACTGAAGAATCATTTTGACAATTTATAAAGACATTAAGTAAGCAATTATAATTATTCATTACTTAGTGGTAATACAATAAAATGAATGCTATATAAGTTGAAGATCATAATGTATCTTCCAGGACTTAACATAAATAAACAGAACTAAACAATTCATTTAAAATACTCCAATAAAGTACTTGCTGTAGATAACTATAAGATTATAACAAGCCATGGAATAAGAAAGATGTGATCAGCCATGGAAGATGGTGTTCAGAAACTTTACTTTAGTCACATTTATTCCAAAATTGTTTTCCTAAAATTTCATTTCAGAGTGAAAATAAAAAAAACATGTCCATAGTAACTTTAAAAAAAAGATCCTGAGAGCACATGTGCTCTCCAGAGAGAGACAAACAAGTAGAGAGGGTAAGGCAGAACATACCCTATAATGATGCATAGCTACACTGCAATCCCTTCTCCTCCATTTCTCCACCTTGTCAGGACTTTGGGCACAGATACATGGGTCGGATGTGTTTTTTTCAGGTCTCCAAAGCTGGGACTCAAACCCCACAGTTGGCCAGGTAAGCTCTGGCAGCCTTAGCTACCTGACCATAGAGCTGGCCCTCCTTAGCACCTTTGACATTCAAAGATTGCTATCATCAGCAGACTCATTTCCCAAGGTCTAAGTTTTCTTTAGAGCTGCTTTTTCTCCAGCACTTGGCACAGAATCACCTATTATGTTGTAGTTCACCTACACAGTCCTAGTTTATGTTTTCTGTCCTGACAGTACAGTTTAGATGCTAATTTAAACAGTTAAGCTCCTTGCACTTCACATACAAATTTAATGAAGCTTTTTCAGTCTTATCAAATGCAAAAGAGTTTGGTGCTGTTTCATTTTAAATAGATATTACACTTCAACTGATATAATTTGTCTAAGGTTTGTTGCGAAATGCTAATAATTTGAATTTTGGTCTCACAGAAGCACAATTTTAAGATATAAACATTGCCAGTTATCCTACATTTGTTAATTTGGGAAGACATTCAAACACTAGTATGGATTATTAGAAAAGAAGAGTGAGTTGTGGAGAACATTCTTTAAAATAAAAGTATAAAGTGGGGGACAGCAGATGAAATGGTAGTTAAGGTGCTAGAGTCCCACATGGTCAACCCCAATTTGAGTCCTGGACATGGTTGGTAGCTTGCTTTCTTGCTTTCCCTCTCCCTTTCTCTGTCTCTCGCTGGTCAAATTTTAAAAATAATAATAAATAATAAATACAATTAGATAAAATAATTCTTTTTAAAAAGTATAAAGTGGTTGGGTGATGGTTGAAAAGATATGTAACTTATGATGAACAGACTTTTGTAGAACCATTATAAAGCGGATTCTAATATTAAATAGGTAACTTCCCATTCTAAATTGTTAAGGACGGCATCTCATTCTCAAACACAACTTTAACAACTTTATTAGGTACTTGAATTTAAGATAACTAGTTTTGAAATAAAATCTGGAGACTATTTTGGAAAACATATCCTACAGGATTGTTGTCATTAGACTATTGAAGAATAAGAATATTGAGTTGAGAAAGTTATGATGTATTTTTGCATAGAAAAACAGAAAAAATATGTCATGACTTTCCAACAATCTAATAGTTCAAGTACATAATATACATTAATGTTTATTCATTAAGCATATCTATAATTATACATAAGTCACCACTCCTGCCACTACTGTTACCACTTAGCTGTAAGTAGAATGCAAAATATTTTTAAAGATTTTGAAAAGTTTATTAGCAAAAATTAGTAATTATTTGATGCTACATAGCCAAATGATATCATAATAGACAAAATATGTGGCAATTCCAAGAACAATGACTTAAATACTAACATAAAGTTCACTTATAAACATATTCCCACATTCAGACATTCTCCACTTCTGTTGTCTCCTGCAACCATAAAGGATCACTGAATAATAATCTTGATACTTCTGCCTAGGGTGTAAGAAATAAAAAAATACCAGAAAGCTATGTAAGGAGTACTGTATTCAAGACCATATCACCCAAAGTGATACCTCTAAGATGTGCAGATAGGCATATTTTCAAAAACCCTAGGGAACCAGCAGTTAGCGTAATGGCTATGTCGCTGGACTCCCACGTAGTCGACCGCAGTTTGTGTCCCGGACCCGGTGGCTTAAAACTCACGCCAGGTGCGTGTGCGTGCGTGCCCAAGATCCCGAGAGGAGAATGGAGGAGAAGGGATTGCGGCATGACCATCCCCCCTGGGGGGTGATTTCTCGCTTTCTGTCTCTATGTCTCTCTCTGTCTGTCTGGCGAGCGCACGCGCCCTACAGTGAAAATCTCTCAAAAAAAAAAAAAAAAAAAACCCTACTAATTGTTTGGATGGTAAAGAAAAAGGAAAAGAAGAAAAAGAAGAGTTTTAAGGAAAAGGAAGAAGAAAAATGAAAAGGAGGAGAAGGAGGAGCAAGATGGCTATGGAAGGCAGCCTATTTACAGGGAATATATAATAATAAAGTAATTGATTCACTGTCCCTCATTTTAAACTGTCCAAAATAACCTAAATGTACTTCATAAATATTACCAAGTTTGTGCAATTCATTGTCTAATTTAGATTAAGCTTATTTCTAGTCATCACTCCATTTAACATACTACAACACTACAATTATGAGCATGTATTTTAATAGCTTTGATATAAGCATGATGACAGCATTCTAATGGCATAAATAGTAAACCTCTTACTGCTTGCAAAAGCATCTGTTAATTCTAAAATTCTCATCAAGCAAATAGATATAAAAGGTACAGTTTGTAATACACATCATCATAGATACTTCATAATTCCTCAATACATCTGTAATCCAGACAAATTGAGAAGTTACCATTATATAACTGTCCAAGCCATTTTCTCTTTTTATTATTCTAAGATCTTTTTTCCAGGAATTTTCTTTAACTACATTTATTGTCTCTTTTTCTTTTTCTTTTTTTTTTTTTTTGGAGAGGTTTTCGCTATAGAGCGCATGCGCTCGCCAGAAAGACAGAGAGAGACAGAGAGATAGAAAGCGAGAAATCACCCCCTGGGGGGATGGCCATGCTGCAATCCCTTCTCCTCCATTCTCCTCTTGGGATCTTGGGCACGCAAGCATACGTGCCTGGAGTTTAAGCCACCAGGTCCGGGACTTGAACCGCAGTTGACTACATGGGAGTCCAGCAACATAGCCATTATGTCAATTACTGGTCCCATTACATCTATTTTCTAAACTGTCAACACAATCCCCAATCCATCTCCTCTCCAATTAAAAACAAAGTCTTGCAAGTATTGATATATACAATAAACTTTTAATTATTAATATAAATATGAAAAAGAATGAACTGGATCCGGGACTTGAACCGCAGTTGACTACATGGGAGTCCAGCAACATAGCCATTATGTCAATTACTGGTCCCATTACATCTATTTTCTAAACTGTCAACACAATCCCCAATCCATCTCCTCTCCAATTAAAAACAAAGTCTTGCAAGTATTGATATATACAATAAACTTTTAATTATTAATATAAATATGAAAAAGAATGAGGGATATTATTATCTACAGTAACAAGATATAGAAGCCTACCTATACACAAGGAAAAACAAAAGATTTAGTACTCAAATTATGCACTAAAGTATAATCTAAAGTGATTCTAAAAATTATCTTTATAGAAAAATTTTGATATAGAGAATATAATGTAAAAGTCAAATGTTATCATAAATATTTTGATAGTTTTTTTAAAACTACAATTACCATTAGTCAGAATCTTCAAACAGACTAGTTTTAAACTCAAATAAAAAGAAACTCAAAAAATTTGAAAATGTTTAGTAAAAATGCAAAATGAGCCTGGAAAAATGAAAGGTTGAAATATTGGCATTATTTTGCCTAGAGAAACCAAGGTTGATGAACGTTCTGTGTGACTCCACTACTGGAATGTCCGTGCCTGGTTTCTTCCAGACAGCACTCCGCCATGGCCTTTTCCCTTGTGCTTTGTTATCCTTTTGCTGTAATCAATCAGAGCCATGACGATGACTACATGATGAGTACTGTGAGTCCTCGCAGCAAGCCCTGAGCCTGGAGATGGTCTTGGACAGTCCCCGGTACAGCTGGCACCGGAAATTAGACTAATGTGCCCCTGAATCAGCAGAATATGGAGAAAGCGTTATTTGGGACAAGAATAATGAAAAGGTGCCTATTGAGTCATCTATGACATAAAACAGCAGTTGACCTGCTGTCTGTTGTTACAGGTAAAAATGACCTGTGGAGCTGGAAAACGATACATCTAACTCCAGTAGAACAGACTGAATGGATCCTCTGGCTGCTATTGGTGGTGCCAGGTTAAGTGAGTGAAAAAGATGCACCTTGGGAATGTCTTTGTTCCCCCCTCCAGGAGGTAGGTGAAAGGATCCCAAAATTCCTAAAGCTGGGCTTTGTGCAGGACAAAGGCAATAAAAACTTATTTTAATTACTCTCTCCTATAGGTGGGAGTAAAAGGTTAACTCAATTCCTGAGGCTGGAGCAAAGTTTTAAATAAACCAAAAGAGAAAAATATTTATGTCAAGGATTCTGGAGGAGGGGAGAGTAGACTCCAGCCTTTTCTTCAGTTTAGCTCCAGCCACTCCTGAACCATTCCCTCTTTTCCCTTGAATTCAGCTGTGATCTCCCCGCATCTGTAGTGTTCACTCTGTACATGCTAAATTTAGAGCTAGAACAAATTGGCAAAGAGAAAAACAATATTTTTTTAAATTTTACTAAAGGGCATCATGTGCTCACCGGAGAAAGACAAAATGAGGCTGAGAGAGAGAGAAAAAGTAACTCCCAATGGGGAATAGTCACACCATAATTCCTTCCCCTTCATTTCTCCATCCAGTTGGGATTTGGGGCACACACACACACACACACACACACACACACACACACACTCATT